AAAAAAAAAATATTATTATTTTACATAAGAAGAAACAATGTAATGATTGATTTTTGAGTGAAAAGCTAACTTTTATTATTTCTAGGAAAAATCCCATTTAGTCATATTGTATTAATTATATATTGGTGGATTCAATTTTGTATTTGTGTCCCTTTGCCATATTGGGGCCATAGCTTTTTTTTTTTTTTTTTTTTTTGAGGATAGTCTCGATGTCCTGACCTCGGCCCGCCTCGGCCTCCCAAAGTGCTGGGATTACAGGCGTGAGACACCGCGCCCGGCCTGGGCTGTAGTTTTCTTGACACGTCTTTGTCTGTTTTTGGTCTCAGAGTAATGGTGGTCTCAAAAAAGGAGTTAGGAAGTGTTCCCTTATATTTTGAAAAAGTTTCTGAAAGATGGGCATTCTTTTTTCTTTCTTTTTCCCGAGAGGGAGTCTCTCTCTGTTGCCCAGGCTGGAGTGCAGTGGCGCGATCTCGGCTCACTGCAAGCTCCGCCTCCCAGGTTCATGCCATTCTCCTGCCTCAGCCTCCGGAGTAGCTGGGACTACAAGCGCCCGCCACCATGCCCGGCTAATTTTTTGTATTTTTAGTAGAGACGGGGTTTCAGTGTGTTAGCCGGGATGGTCTCGATCCGACCTCGTGATCCACCCGCCCTGGCCTCCCAAAGTGCTGGTATTACACGCGTGAGCCACCGCGCCCGGTCGGCATTATTTTTTCTTAAAAGTTTGACAGAATTTATCAGATTTATCAGTGAATTTACCCGGGTCAGATTTTCCTTAAGGGAAAGTTTTAAACTGCAAATTCATTTTTTTTTTTCTTTTTCACAAACAGGGTCTTGCTCTGTTACCTAGTCTGGAGTGGAGTGGAGCAATCATAGTTCACTGTGTCCTTGAACCCCTGGGCTCAAGCAATCCTCTTGCCTCAGCGTCCTGAGTAGCTAGAACTACGGGAGCATGTGACTATGCCAGCTAATTAAAAAAAAAAAATCTGTTTTGTGGGTCTTGTTATGTTGGCCAGGCTTCGATATCTTAATAGAAGGAAAACTATTCAAATTTATATTTTTTTCTAGAGCCCATTTTGTCATTTTTGTCTCTTAAAGAATTTAAGTTGTTCAATTTAGCGGCATAAAGTTGACTTCAATATTCTATATTGTCACTTTAATGTCTATGAATTCCTTCTTTCATTTTTGAAATTAGTAATGTCCATTTTCTTGACTAATGTAAATGGAGCTTTAGTACAGATTCTCACTCTCACCCAGGCTGAAGTACACTGGCGTGAGCACAGCTCGCTGCAACCTCGAACTCTCGGACTAGAGTGATCCTCCCACTTCAGCCTCTAGATGACCTAAGTAAGACCACAGGCACACACCACCATGCTCGGCTAATATTTTAATTTTAATTTTGTAGAGACAAGGTCTCACTATGTTGCCCAGGATGGTCTCAAACTCCTGGGCTCAAGCGATTCACCCACCTTGGCCTCCCAAAGCACTGAGATTACAGGTATGAACCACCATGCCTGGCAATGATTTTTTACAAAATACTTTATATTTTCCTTTATTTTCTTTCTTTCTTTTGTTTTTTGGGGGGGGGTCTGTTTTCTGTTTTAAGTTGATTTCTACTATCTTATTTGTTTTCTTCTTTGTGTTTAATATGTCCTTTCTTCTAGCTTCTGAAGATTAAAAGTTAGTTCATTCTCTTGGGCCTTCTTTTTCTTATGATATAAACTTTTAAGACATAAATTTTACTTTTAGAACTGCCTTAACATTTTCCCACAAACATTTGATATATTGTGTAATTTTTCATTCACTTCGAGAGATTTTCCTACTTTCCTTCTGAGTTCTTCTTTAGTCAATGAGGAACATAGAAACATGTTTAATTTTCAAATATTCATAGAGTTTCCAGATATTGATCTATAATTGATTTCAAATTTAGCTTTACAGTGGTTAGAAAATATACTTTGTGTGACTTCAATCGTTTTAAATTTCTCGAGACTTGTTTTATAGCTAATTATATGGCCTTTTTTCGTGAACATTATATATGCACTTAAAAGGAACATCTAGGCTGGGCATGGTGGCTCACGCCTGTAATTCCAACACTTCAAAGGCCAAGGTGAGAGGATCACTTGAGCCCAGGAGTTCAAGACCAACCTGAGCAATATAGCGAGACCACATCTCTACAAAAAAAAATTAAAAATTAGCTGGGTATGGCCGGGTGTGGTGGCTCACACCTGTAATCCCAGCACTTTGGGAGGCCATGGCAGGCGGATCACAACGCCAAGAGATCAAGGCCATCCTGGCCAACATGGTGAAACCTCATCTTTACTAAAAATACAAAAATTAGCTGGGCATCGTGGCGCGTGCCTGTAGTCTCAGCTACTTGGGAGGCTGAGGCAGGAGAATCGTTTGAACCTGGGAGGTGGAGGTTGCAGTGAGTCGAGATCGCACCACTGCACTCTAGCCTGGTGACACAGTGAGACTCCGTCTCAAAAAAAAAGAAAAGGAAAGAAAGAAAGAAAAAAAAATTAGCTGGGTATGATGACACCCACCTGTAGTCCCTGCTATTGGAGGCTGATGTGGGAGGATCGCTTGAACATGGAGGTCAAGGCTGCAGTGTGCTATGATCCACGTTACTCTAGGCTGGGTGACAGAGTGAGACTCTGTCTCAAAACAAATAAAAATAATGAAAGAAAGGAACTTGTATTCTGCAATTGTTGGGATAAATCATTTTGTTTTAGCACCTCTTTTTGCTTTCACTTGAAAGTCTTATCTTCCTCATCCATTTTCTTGGCCTGCTTCTTGAACTGTTTTAGGGGGTCCTTCTTGCTGGACATGGCTCCTTCATGCCATGGCACCTTCACAGCTGGACTTGGCACCTGTGCCCCTTCCTCAGACTGGGCCCTCTATTGGACTCCTTTTTCCTTTTTTTTTATGGAGACAGTCTTGCTCTGTCACCCATGCTGGAGTGCAGTGGCACAAACACAGCTTACTGTGGCCCTGACGCTCCTAGGACCAACCGATTCTCCCACATCAGCCTTCCAAGTAGCTGGGACTACAGACGTGTGCCACCACGCCCGGCTAATTGTTTAATTTTTTTGTAGCGACGGGGTCTCACTTTGTTGCCCAGGCTGGTCCCAAACTCCTGGGCTCAAGCAATCCTCCCACCTTGGCCTCCCAAAGTGCTGAGATGACGGGCATGAGCCACCATGCCTGGCCTAGGATTTGTATTTGATGCTTTCTTTTTGAAACAGTTTTATTGAGAAATAACTCACATACCATACAGTTCACCCATTAAAATGTACAATTCAGTAGTTGTTAGTATAATCAGAGTTTCATAAACATCATCCAATTTTAGAATATTTTCATCACCCCAAAAAGAAACTTTACTCTGTAGTAGTTACCTCACATTTTCACCGAAACTTCTCAGCCCTGGGGAATCATTAGTCTACTTTCTCTCCCTATTGATTTGTATATTCTAGACACTTCATATAAATGGAATCATATAATATATGACCCTTTGTGACTGGCTTCTTTCGCATAGCTTTGTAAGCTTTTCCAGGTTTATCCATGTTGAAGCATGTACCAGTGTCATAAATTTTTTAATATAGTTGCTGCTTTGGTATTCATTTTTAGGCCTGGCCTAAGTCTTTGGAAACCCAGTTGTATACTCACCCCCTGGCCCCTGACGTCACCTTTGGCCTCGTTAAAACTTACCCTTCTGGCCAGGTGTGGTGGCTCACACCTGTAATCCCACACTTTGGGAGACCAAGGTGGGAGGATCACTTGAGGTCAGGAGTTCAAGACCAGCCTGGCCAATATGGTAAAACCTTGCCTCTACTGAAAATACAAAAATTAGCCGGGCAGGATGGCGCGCACCTATAATCCCAGCTACTTGGGAGGCTGAGGCACGAGAATCACTTGAATGTGGGAGGCGGAGGAGGCTGCAGTGAGCTGAGATCACGCCACTGCACTCCAGCCGGGGCCACACAGCAAGACTCTGTCTCAAGAAACAAAACAAAAACAAAACAAACTTCCCCTCCTGGTGTGGTTGATACAGCCCACTTGTTCATCTTATAGACCCCCAATCACAACATATCCCTCAGCTGCTGACCATGAAAAAACCTAATGGTTGACTGAGGGCTGTAATCCCGGCAGGTTCGGAGGGTGCGGCAGGAGGATTGTTTGAGGCCAGGAGTTTGAGACCACCCTGGGTAACATAGTGAGACCCCTGTGTCTACAAAAAGAAAAAAAAATTAGCTGGGCATGGTGGCCCACATCTCTAGTCCCAGCTACTGAAGAGGCTGAGGCAGGAGGATTGACTGAGACAGGGAGGTAGAGGATGCAGTGAGCTGAGATCATGCCACTGCACTCCAGCCTGGGCGACAGAGCGAGACCTTGTCTCAAAACAAAACAGAACACCACAAAAACTTAATGGTCAACACCAGAGCCTTGCAAATAAGTTCCCCTCCTTTGCGCATGTGGTTTTTTAAGGGCATAATGCCTATGGACCTAATAAAAGCATAATCCCACAGGTCTCTTTTCTCTCGCTCTCTTTCTTTCTCCTGAGTAGCTGGAGCTGGAGATGTGGGCCACCAGGCCTAGCTAATTTTTTTTTTTTTCTTTTTGTAGAGATGGGGGTCTCACTATGTTACCCAGGGTGGTCTCAAACTCCTGGTCTCAAGCAATCCTCCTGCCACATCCTCCCAAAGTGCCGGGATTACGGCCCTCAGCCAACCCATTAGGTTTACTGTGATTGCTTTATCTGGGATCTTGGTTTCTCAAGTCCTAGCTGCCTTAATAGACCTGACTCCAAATTTTGTATCACCAGGCCAGTAAGACTGCCAGTAAGCTCTAGGGTGCTTCTTTCTGACTTCCACACTCCTAGACACAAATCAACAATGCCCTGAGAAGGAAGAGTGGCTGAGAATGCAGGACTCACTTCAAAGTATTTCCCTTCTTCCTGGGGGCTCTTGGACTCTCAAGCCTTGGATGACACGGTTGCTCTCCAATTGTTTTAAACAGACTTTTTATTTATTTTTTTAAACAGCTTTTACAGTCCTCAGTGGCAGAGTTAGTTTGTTCGACAAGGTACCTCATCATGGTTGGATGCCTGCATCATTAAAAAAATTCATTATGATGAAATATCCTTTAAACAAATAAAATTAGATTTTTTTTAAAGTTAATTGTGGCAAAAACAATTTAAAATGTACCTTTGTAACTCCTTTTAAGTGTACAGTTCAGTGGTGTTATATTTACATTATTGTGTAACATCTCTAGAACTTTTTCATCTTGCAAAATTGAAACTCTATACCCAGTGAACATTATATCACTATTTTCCCCTCCCTCTACCCTCTAGCAACCACTATTCTACTGTCTGTTTCCACGAGTTTGACATAATCACACAATTTACATACCTCTACATACCTCATATACGTCAAATCATAACAGTATTTGTCCTTTTGTAACTGGTTTATTGCACTTGGCACAACATCCTCAAGGTTCATCTACGTTGTGGCCTGTGATAGGATTTCCTTCATTTTTAAGGCTGAATAATATTCCATTATATGTATATATTACATTTTCATTTATCTATTTATCTGTTGATGAACATTTGGGCTGCTTCAACCTCTTGGCTATTGTGAATAGTGCTGCAATGAACACGAGTGTGCAAATATTTCTTCGATATCCTGCTTTCAATTCTTTTGGACACTTACCCATAAGTGGGATTGCTGGATCATATTTTAGCTCTAGTTTTAGTTTTTTAAGGAACTTCCACACTGTTTTGCATAGAGGTGGTACCATCTACATTCCCACCAGCGTTGCATAAGAGTTCCAATTTCTCCACAAGATCCCATCTTTAGAATATGCAGCAATTAACTAGGGGGTTTTCATTTTTGGTCTTTTTTGTTTGTACAAACATTATTGTGTCAAAGTTTACACAGATTTCAAATTTCAGCCTAGACCTGGAAGAGTGCTGATAGAGGAGTGTTAAGAACATCAACCTGAATCAGCTCTAGAGATGGAGAGGGTTTGGCAGAAGCTACCCTAAAGGAGAGAACATGCTTGATGTGGCAATGAAGTTACCTGCCTGGATTCTGGGCGACCCTGGATATCTTCTCCTTTGCTAAGAAGTTAGCCTCTTTTTCTGCCTCAAAAACATTCTTCTCTTCCCTTACCTACTCCAAGGGTACAAGTGACTGGGGTATGCCTGTCACAGGTGAGGTGAGGCCAAGATGTGGGCACTAATTAAGGCCCATCAGATACGGTATAAATGTTATTTATTACCATGATTACTGTTTTGGAGATGGTCAGTGCGGTACATAGAAAGGGAGTTAAGAGCAGACTCTGAAGCCAGACTGTCTGGAATGAATCCAGGCTCCTCTAGCTACTATATATGTGATGTTGAACATATTTCTTAATTTCTCTGTGCCTCATCCATATCCATAAAATGGCAATGTTAATCCTTATCCATAAAATGGCAATATTAATGGCACCCACTGTTCAGAGTTCTTAGGATTAAATAAATTAATATTCGCTAGGTACTCAGTGCAAACTGTGGGCACACAGCATGTACTATGTAAGTGTTAGGTAAAATAAAGGTGGACCAAGCCTGGTAGCACCTAGTAAGTCCAGCTTCAGCTTTGCTGTGCTGAGTCGTGTAGGTGGTGCTCTTGTGTCCCTGGTTTGCTGGAGGACCTAGTTTTAGTGTATTTCAGGTGTCATTAAGCATCCCCGCTCCCTCGATGGGATAAGGGTGTGACTGTGGACTGTACATAGCATCTCGGTGAAAGTGTTAACGCACATCCCTGGGCGGAGAGGTAACTCTACTCAATGCGTTATAAGGGGACTCACACACCTCACGGACGGTGTAGGTTCTGTCTGCTCCTTGCGTTTCAGTGGAGGTGCACAGAGCTCCGGGGGGCATCGGGGACCGCGGGCCCGGGACGTGTAGCAGGGGGCGGTGCTGCACACTTCCTCGGACCATAGCGGGGATGGCGGGTTCCACACCTGTCGGGGCAGCAGAGACTGAGCTCGTGCGCGCGGAGGACCGGTTGCTCCAAACCTCCAGGGGCAGCGCGCCAGCCGCCGCGTGCGCGCGTGTGTGCAGCAGGAGGCTCGGTCTACACCTCCTCCGGGCAGCGACGACTGCAAGCTTGGTGCGTGCCGTAGGAGGTGTCGTTACACACTTCCTGTGGGTCTCGCCGACCACGGCGCGTTTCCGGTGCCGGCTGGAGCCCCAGGTCCGAGCCCCCGCCCCGCCCGCCGGCCCCGCCCCGGCCCGCCCGCGCCCCGCCCCCTGCCCGCCCGCCGCGCTCCGAGCCGGGCGCGCGGAGCTCGGGGCGCACGGAGCGGCGCGCGCCGGTCGGCCGAGCCAGGCTGGCGCCCCCGCCCCCCGCCCCGCGCCTCGGTCCGTCGCCCGCCGGGCGCCTTCCCCGCGCCTTTTGCCTTCGGTGCCCGCTCCTCCGGCCGCTTTCCTCCCGCCCTCGCGCCCCTCCGGCCCGCCCCGTCCAGCCCGGGCTGCCCGGCTCCCGCAGGCCCCCCCCGCCGCCCGCGTTCCTATGGACAGACGCACAGACACCTGCAGGTGGGTGAGAGCCCGCGCGCTGGGCGGGGACGAGCGCGCCGACGTCGCGACCCAGGCGGGGAGCCCCTTTGTGTGGGGGGCGGCCGCGCAGGGGTCGACTCTGCTTCCCCGTCAGCGGCCGCGCGGTGACCCGGCTGAACCTTCCTTTTGTCTCCTCTCGGGGGAGCGAGGCCGGAGCAAGGGCAGGGACCCGGGCGGCCGCTCGTCGGCAGCGCCGGGCTTGGGGGTGCGAGGCGCAGAGACCCCCGGCGGCGGCTCCAGTCCGCCTGCCCCGGGCCGCCCCGCCGCCCGGCAGCTCGGGTCTCAGCGGCGGCTGCAGGCGCAGTGCGTGGGGCTGGCGCCCCTGCTTCTGCTCTTGGGTCTGTTGGAGGTGGGAAGGAGGGCGGGAAGGAGGAAGAAAAGGTCTGTCCTGTTAGTTTCCAAGTCTTGAGATGCTTATGGAGAAAGAGAGGTGGTTCAGGGCTCTGCCCCACTAGTTTCCCTCCTCGGGAGGCTCGCCGAGGTGCGTTTGGGGCGTGTGTGAAGGAACGTGCATGGCTTCGCTCCCTTATTTATTGTTTCTAACGGAGGAGGGCTTTCTCCAAAAGGCTCTTCCGTCCCCCACCCCCATCTGAGGCTGCGCACAGTGATTTGTGTTTGTTATCAAATATATCGAGAAATGTATTCCCCTGGGTAGGAGGAGGTTGGACTGAGCAACGTCAAACCAAAATCAAAGAATGTTTTTGGTTCCCTCAAGTCTTTTTTTTTTTTTTCTTTAAGGTTTTAGATGGAGACTTTAAAAAATGAACATGGCTGTGATTTTTACAATTATGTATATTTAGTGTGTGTGTGTGTGTGTGTGTGTGTGTGTGTGTGTGTTGAAGTTTAGGAGTAAAGTTTTGTTTTTTCCCGTACTTGTTAGGATTCGCAAGACGGAATCCTCTCCCGACGAAATAAACAGTTAACAAGCCAGTCAGGTAGTGACAGCTTGCATGGTGGAGGTTAAATTGGAGTGGAATAAACAATGATCTAGCTTTCCGTTCAGGCTGAAGCCTTTATTTCTACTGATTTAAGATATGAGATCTTTCACAACCCATGAAATCATAAATGTCAGCATTGAGTTTTCCCCCTAGGATTGTGCTTTTCCTATTTTATCCTATGTATATAACCCAGCGATTCGGTTGTGCATGGATATGGATACCGTGTTTTGAAAAATACGGTAGGGTAATGTTTCTGATTTGTCTTATTTGATTAGCTAGCTAAGTTTCTTCATTAACGGTTGCTGTGTATTTGTAGATATTCAAATGATAAACGAGGTTGAATAAGCACCCAGAAAATAAATTTTACAGATTCAGATTTTTAATATGCAGGTATGGATTTATAACTGTATTAATCTCAATCTACTGCTCAGTTCTGGAAACTCTTTTGCCCCCCGTGTGAGAATTTATATTGACAAACTTAAGTCTGACAGTTACCCAGGAAATTAAAAAAACGAAGAAGCAGTTTTGGGGGCCATGCATACAATTATATAGACAGTCATATGTAGAAAATGGAGGTTTTCCTAAAAAAACAAAAAGCATTATCATCTAAACTTGAAGGAAAAACGTGGAAAATTATGTATTATTTAAATTTTCATTAAGGTTTAAAATTTAGAAAACTGTACAATTTAATGCACTTTTTTAAAGACAAACTGATTTTTGTCATTATAAAAAGTTTAGTATGCTTAAAATAGTGGTTTTTTTCTAGGAGAAAAATTTATCCTAGATTCTTGCCCCAGTTAAACAGATTAATATTATTGCATGCCTAATACTGTAAATGCCTGGAGTGTACATTTATACACACATTACTTAAAACCTAGCAGTGATCAAGCCAATCCCTTTTAGTTGACAAAATTTTACTGGTTTCTGCTTTGACTTCCAGTCTGCATTAGGTAAATGAATTTAAATTCTGCACAGAGGCACAGAGCTCAGTATGTGGCTCTGGTAGGCCCTTGACTAGCGTTCCTTGTCCCTCTCCATTCATAGTAACAGCCCAAAGAGGAGAGGTACTGAAATTTGATCAGGCTTTATCGCGAATCCAGGAATGGAGTTCTAGACCACTCTCAGAATTTCAGCACTTAGGTATACATACTCTTCCTTAGCTCTTTAAAGTATTAAAAAAAGATAAGCTAATAATTGAATTGCTTATTTATATATTTACAAGGCTGTCAGTGGTAGTGATAAGATTTAACAAAGAGTCACTGTGTAACTAAGCATTAACAGAGTGTGGCCTGTACTGAGAATTGTTTTGGCAAAGTTGTAGTTGTGCCTAACTGTTTTCTGAGATCATCAGTGTAGTCTTTATGTGGGCTGGCTAAAAGATAACACCCTAGTTTTGTTTATGTTTTTGTGTGTTTTTTTGACTGATAAGTAGATACTAATTTTTTGTTTTTGTATGATTAGCAATAATATTTTAGTGTAATCAGAAGCATTCCAGAGAACCTTATGTATTTTCAACTGATTTCCTTTCTGGTAAGTTGGTGTTCAGGAAGGCATATAAATTATTTTTCATTTTTCATGTTTGAAATTATTTGACTTGTTTTGACAAATACGTGCTACTTCCAGAAAATTTGAATTTGTATAAAACTGGATTTTTAAATATAGCTGACATTTACCAACTTCTCTTTTTAAAACAACACTAAGCCGTCCACAGTTAAATTTGATAGGCTTTAAAATCCATGGACTTTTCTAGCATTTTCCTGTTTATTGGTTATCAATGTGGTATCATTACAGGAAGCTTAAAATGGCCACTTTATGTTAACTAGAATGCTCAAATGACTAGTGTTTTCATTAGTAATAAATGGAAAGCTGAAAAGTAACAATTTTATTCTTTGTGATAGATCTGTGACTTTCAAGTCTTTTTTTCACATTTTTTTGTAGCCTAGTGGGGAAGCAGGTCCCGCTGTGAGAGGTGTGGACAGTGACCTCTCGTTCCAGCCGTTATCATCATCCTGCATTGTTTAACAACAGCACCAACCCCATGCTGCTTGCCGAAAATGCAGATTTCATTCTTGGATTAATATTCTGGTACCAGATGTATGAGGCTGGCTCTAAAGAAGCTTTTTCTCTTAAGTACTGTCAAAAATAGAGAAGCTGAAGATTGGAGAGAAGCCATTTATTTTGAACAGTTTATTTTCTGACAGTTTGTGTTTGTAAAGAAACCTGCTCATAATATTTACTTCAGAGATCTCCATAGTTGCCTGAGGAAGCCCCACAGGTTTCTTTTCCTTTAAAAAAGTTTCCATTGAGCTTAACTCTTACGTGATACTTCTTGACTTTGCTTCTGATTAGTTGATTTATGGACTTTATTTACTAGCATGATTGGAGAATTCTTTTGCTAGACTGAAATTGCACTCTGCCTGTGCTCTGGTCCGTTTCCTAGGTAACAAATGCACTGCATAGATTCCATAATGAGGACTGTGGTTGGCTAGTTACTGTGTAAATTCTGTTGTTTGGTAAAGCTTAGTCTCAAATTCAAATAAAGGTCAAGAAACCAAAAGTACTGAAAATGCAAATTTTTGAATTTGATTTTGTATCCAATGCCAACAACGTTTAATAGGCTTTTCTGGAGAAAGGCAAATTATGCAGCCGTATTCAAGTTTGTTTTGCAAAGTCTTACACTTAAAACAGTTGGAGAGCTTTTTCACCATTAGTGTTCATACTGGTAATACTAATGGCTCTAGTGACAAAGAAGATGTATTTCAGAAACGTATTATCACACTTGAAAATAATATATAGAAAGCAAAGAATCCTTGTCTAGGACAACTGTGATATTGTTATACTGAAAGGAAGTAACTATGTATCAAAAGAGAAATTATACAACTTTGACATGAGATATAACATTGTGTTTTTTAGAGATGTGGTCATAACTCTATCACCCACGCTGGAATACAGTGGTGCAACCATAGCTTACTGCGTCTTCAAACTCCTGGGCTCAAGGGATCACATCTCAGCCTCCCAAGTAGCTGGAACTACAGGCATGTGCCATCACACTCAGCTAATTTTTCTTATTTTTTGTAGAGATGGGGTCTTGCGGTGTTGCCCAGGCTGGTCTTGAACTCCTGGACTCAAATGATCGTCCTGCCTTGGCCTCCCAGGTGCTAGGATTATAGGTGTGAACCATCACGTCCAACCATAACTTTAAAAAAGTTTAAGAAGATGTTAAAACGTTGAAGCAATGTTTAAAAACGTTAAAAATCTTACCATAAAATGCTGAATTTCTGTTCTAGCTTTTTTTCTTCTCTGCATGAACTTTGGCCAACCTAGCACCAGGGAGCAAGTCCCCCCTTGGTTGCTGCAAGTTAGAGAATAGCTTTCTCCTCCACCTTACTCTCCTCTGGAAATCTGTGGCCTCTTTAGCTCGAGACATAGGACAAAAACTAGTATGTGTGGAATGGCTAGTGATTATTAGCTGTTTTTTTTGTTTGTTTGTTTGTTGTTGTTTTTTTCCTTAAGAAACCTGCAAAGAACCAAAGTTCCATTAAAACCTACTGGAAATATATTTTCACTTGAGGCCTGAAAAATGTTTTTTGTTAATCATCAAGGAATTCATTAACTAAACATTAAAATAAAATACAACTCTTTTTAATTCTAAATAATTATCCAAAGTTGCTTCCATTGCTTTCCCTTGCTTTGCTGGGTTGTTTTTAGATGATTCATTTACTCTTTGGTTAACTTTCATTTCACGCATAGGATACATCTTGCTTGACTTCTCTTTTTATTCTTGGTTTTCTTCAAAACTGATATTACTTTAACCTTTTCTGTCCTTTTTTAATTGCAAATATTATATCCTTTCAGTTTTTTCTTATATTTTCCTCTGGAAATACTAATTATTTAAAAAATATTTTCCTTGTGTGATTTAAGGCATTATCACCATGTATCAAAAGCTCTACCGTTTTTTCTATTATAGGACTTCGTATTTATGGGATGGAGTTGACAATATGTGTGAATTCTTAACCAGCTAGGACTACTTCCTCCTCTCAG